TGAATGTCATCTTCAGTGAAGTGTCATTTGCCCATTTTGTAACTGGGCTGTTTGTCATTTTCTTATTGAGGTATTAAACTTTTCTATAAATTTTAGAGATGAGATCCTTGTCAGATATGCCACTGTCAAATATTTTTTCCCAGCCTTACTCTTTTGGAGAAGTCTTTTGATGCATGTTGTTGTTGATGATTGCCGTCGAGTTGAGCATGACTCACAACTCATAGCAATCCTATGAACAAAAGGCCTGAAGCCTTTCTAGAGCTATTGACATTTATCAAATTTCATAGCATTTCCAGAGGCACGTTGTTTAGGAAGTGGATGGTACTCCTGCATACAACCTCAAAAAAACCTTAAACTCATCGCTGTTGAGTGCTATTGTTATGTGCCGTCGAGTCACTTGCGACTCATAGCAACCCTATGTACAAGAGCCCTAAACCCTGCTCTATCCTGTGCCAACCTCACCATCTCCGACACACTCACTCTCACCACCCCAATCACAGAATTGATCCATCTCATTGAGGGTCTTCCTCTCCTGCGCTGTCCCTTCACTCTCCCAAACATGATGTTCCTCTCCAAGGACCAGTCCCTCCTTGCAACATGCCCAAAGTATGTCGGACGAAGCTTCAGAATCCTTGATTCCAAGGAGCATTCTGGAATCACCCTCTCCAGGACAAATCTGTTTGTTCTCCTATCAGTCCATGGTATATTCAACACTCTTCTCCAGCACCACAGCTCAACGGCATCAAGTCTCTTTCTATCATCCCTCGTCACTGTCCAAGTCTCCAATGCATAGCACATAACTGCGAAGACTATAGCCTGAATCAGGTGCACCTTAGTCTCCAGCCTGACGTTGTTGCTCTTCAGTACTCTTGAGAGGTCCCTGACAGCTGACTTTCCCAATGTTATTCATCTCTTGATTTCCTGGCTGATGGTACCAAAAGTGTTGACTGTGGAGCCAAGCAAACTAAAACTGTTAACTATCTCAATCTCTTCACCATCCATACTGATGCTGCCAATTGGCCCAGTGGTGAGAATCTTTGTTTTCTTGACATTAAGCTTCAATCCATATTGAAGACTGCAGTTCTTGACCTTCTGCAGCAAGTGCTTTAGGTCTTCCTCAGTTTCAGCAACTAGGGTTGTGTCATCTGCATAATGCAGGTTGTGATGAATCTTTCACCAGTCCTGATGCCACATTCCTCCTTGTATAGCCCAGCATCTTGGATGATCTGTTCTGCATACATATTGAAAAGGTATGGAGACAGAATACATCCTTGGTGGACCCCATTCTTGATTTTGAACCTTGTAGTGTCTCCTTGCTCTGTTCTGACAAGTGCCTCTTGGTCCAAGTATAAGTTTCGCATAAGCACAATCGAATGTTCTGGGATTCCCATTCTTCTCAGAGTCAGCCATAGCTTGTTGTGATCCACACAGTCAAA